AAGTTTCGAAGGAAAAGCCGTCGGCCGAAATCCTTTTAGGCTTTTTACCTACTCGAGGTCCCCTATCGAATGATGTATGAACGAACGAAATCGGAGCGGGGCACCTGGGGGTGTTCCCTCGTTAGTAAGATCTATAACTCTGCCCATACAACTATCCTCGACATTTTCCGTTTTTTACCCTTAGTTTTTCAGAAAACCCGTTATAATCTTTCTTCAAGGAAAGAGAATTGAGCTATTATGACTCTATATTCCTGTTCAGCATGAAGAATGTGCTTTAACGTTTTCTGAGGCTTCGTTGTGTTTCCATACCACAGTTTTCTAAGAGGATTTCTGGAAAACTGAGGCTGAAAAATGAAAAATGTAGAGGATAGTTGTATGGGCAGAGTTATAGATCTTACTAAGTAGTTTCTATCCGAAAAAATCTCGAAAAATTTTCGGAGCGTTTAGGAGAAAATCGACGTCAAACTTCAGGAATTTTTCAAGTAAACTGAGTACCACTCGATTGTAAAGTTAGATCGAGGCCGAATTCCTTCATCAGTAGAATCAACTCGTCGAAAGCTACAATTTGATGTATAATTATGCAATGTTTCGTTCATTTTCACCGACTTCGGTTTGACCCTCACTAAAAACTTGAGATGTCTAGAAAACTATTTTCCACAGGTTTTTTCAAAAAGCATAAGCGAGACCTTTAGATTATTTTTGATGCTCTACACGATGGGAAAAGTGAAATTTTCGCGGTTAATAGTGGATGTAATAGTGGGCGGACCTGTGTGGAAGCACCCAAACTCGACTAGAAAATTTACTCAAAAAAAAGGAACGTTTTCGAAACTGCGTTCTTAATGTAATGATTGCGCGGGAAATGGCTAAGGTCCCATTCAACCCAAACTTTGAGTAAATGTTGTTCTACTTGTGCTTCATAAGACTTGCACAAAGCTGTGACAGCCTGCTGAGAACTAGGGACTTGTACAGCATTTTTGCTTTAATAACAACAGTAAAGGACAAGTCCTTCCCTGGACCTTACAGTGGACTTTCTAAAATCTCTCAGCTTTGACATAGAATCGATCTTTTCCGGTCAAGAAGCATCTATTAACAAAACCAATGGTGTATTCTCAACCCATCGGTCGAATTGCATCGAACCATGTATAATACAAATACAGTCCGAGCTCTGTGTTTTAGTAATTATAGCAGAGCAGTTGACTAGAAATGGCACTTTAGATAAAATCTCTGATGAAATATTACTCTATACGTTCGTTATATGTTTTACGTTCTCGTCAGCAGTTGTATTTCTAAGATGACTGACTAAGAATTGCTCAGCTATGTCACGAATCATCATTTTAAACTGATCAAGCTTCGCACTTGTCTTCCTTTTTCTGTCTTATATGTGTGTATACTGACACCACCTAAGGAGGTAATATTCTATGATTTCATCATTAATACAGAACTGATATAAAAACAACTTTATCTTTTGACAAAATCGAGATAATAGAAATGTTTATTAGTTTACGTGACCTAAAGATCGTGTGTAAATTTTTCAAACTTCAGAACATAAATCTTGCAAATAGATACGGGATTGTCTGAGAGGAGGTGTGCCGTTATCCGAAATTGTTCCAGTTTTTTCCTTTGGTCATGTAGTAGAGGGATGTGCAGTAACATGATCCGCCACTTAGTTCTGCAAACACTTTTTTTCAAACTCTTATACAAAATCTCAAAATGCAACTAGCGCCTTATGCTGATCATGAACACACATTTAAGCCTTAAAGAATCGTTTTCACTTTTTACGAAGAATTTCTTCTTGATTTGTTTCTTTGATTTGTAGAAGCCTTTTTTTTCTATCGACAGAGAAAGTATACGCGCCTAATTGTAAATATTGATATAAACGAAACAAAACATCTAAAATGAAGCATTTCAATAGCCAAGAAAAATGAACTATTTGACAATATCACACGACAAACGACTCATACGTTAATGTCACATCATGTTTCTTAACCGTTAGATGTAGCATTTCCCAATAAAAATTATTTACGTAGATTCTTCAAACCTACTTTGATCATACCACCATACTAAATTACGGATCCATCATTCTTTTAAACCACATGCAGCTAACATTATACGTAAACTTTCCTAATTTCGGTATGCCATCGACTTTTGCGTGCGTCAATCTAATTGAAATCGAAAAATATAGAAAATATAAAATTTTTTTTTTCTTACCTATTAGCCTAAAGTTGAGACTATATGGATGAACGTCAGGATGGTGGTGATGGTGATGGGAGGAGTCGTCAGAGGCAGCCGTTGATGCATAACTACGAGAGCTTGTGTCGGTAGACGATGAAAGATTTGAATGTCCAGACATTATTCTGGATGAAGAACAAAAACCTGTTAAATCGTTCACCAAAGCTTAGAATCGTATCGTCGATTTTTATTTACATAGATTTCTTCGAATAAGTTATTTAACTGTCAAAATAAGTCACCTCACGTGCCAACAATTTCAGAAAACTGAGTTTTAAGAAAATTAATTTTTCCATTTTCCTGACGAGGGAACTTTTCCAGGTGTCACGCTCCGATTTCTTTTGTTCATATGTCGTTTGACAGAGGACATCGAGTTGGTAAAAAGCCTAAAAGAATTTGGGAGGGGGGCCCTTCCTTAAAAAGTTAGGGGCAATTTTCTATTTTTCCTAGCCAAAAATCGAAAATCTTATAACTTACGAAGGAACCTTTCGAGGTGATCAAACACTTTTTGCTCGGAATCTAGTGGATTATAGGTTATCGACCATGCTGATCCAGAATATGACCATGGGGGTTGCCCTTAGCCCTTCGAAGACCTGATTTTCTAGAAAACCAGTTTTTCAGAAACTCTGAAATATAATCCGAACCTTCCTTAATGAGGCATGATTGTAGCCCGCACATTTCTCATTGAAATGAGACATCTTCCAGCTTTACACAACCTTTCTTTGCAAAGTTATAGAATTTACAAGACAAGCCCTAAATGTTCATTGTCAGCTCAAAGCAGCAGAAATAAGAAGAAATTAATTAATCTAGCAAAAAGCGTTTAATCACCTCGACAGGTTCCCTCGTTAGTCAAAAAAAGTCGTAGACACTTGAAATTTTCAGCGCCGTAAGTCCGAAATGACTGCTGACTAGCCTGAAAATTTCATACCTGTTGTCATATCGATAATCGATGTTGTTTTAAAAGGTTATGGGTTTTGCCGATTATTCGTATACGCGTGTAGTGGAGTGTCGTTCTTTCAACCTATTTAATGTTGGAATTTCGAAACGTGGATTGCAGATTCGAAATCTACGCATAAAACCACCCTAGATTCAAACTACTTTGATCTTTAAAAGTCCTTTATGATGGACATCCAACATGTCAGTTTTTTACGTTCATAAAGTACTTGTAAATAATAATTTTCATCCCCACGACACTATAAAGTAAGCGTCGTTTGTTTTTTCCTAGACTAATTTTTGACCTAGCTTCCAAATCCATTGTTGGATTTCAATTGGCAGATTCGGAATCCACGTATAACACTACCTTATATTTGAATGGAGTTGACTCGTAAAACTGTTATGGCAGTAGTCATCCCTGACATAAATTCCGTACCCATTTTCATTTCATTGTCATGTTATCACTCACACATAAGAAAATTGGTGGCAAAATTTAGGAAATATCACCGAAAACCTGCTTGAAATCACTGAAGTCGCGTTTTCTGTTCTGTTGTACAAGTATTTTCTGTTCTTTTTTAGTACCAGCGGATAGAGCGTGAGACGTTCCATATTGGGTAAAAAATTGACGAGGTGCGTGGGTTTCTGTCTGGGTCATCTAGAGCGAATACCGTCAGAAAACACGATTTTCATCAGTTTTGGCCAATTTTCAAAATTGAGCTTTTGTAATTTTTCTAATTCTATATTCAGATTCAGCATAAAATTCTACATCTGAATCACTATCTATTTTAGTTTTTCGATGCTTCCTCGGCTAGGGGACCTCAAAATACCCTTTTTGGCGGGAAACAAGAAAATTGAGATAAATTGAAGATTACGTTTTATCAACCATTTCGGACACTTCTAATACGGATATTCGTGATAAGCGTGATCGATTACATATTACCATGTGGGTTTGGAAAAAATCAAAAATGAAAAGTTCTCTAGAAATCCCGGAGGGGACCTCAGATCTAAAAAACCTGACCGGGAGATTTCGTGAAACTAAGTGCCTGGAAATGTTCCTGAGCATCCCCTGACATGGTTACAATGCAAAAAAAACGAAAATTTTGTACGTCAGCAAAGGGTCTTATCCGCCCTACTCCTTTTAGTGGAAGAAATATGTCACAGATGAAATGATGCCGGTATTATAATTCATACCGGTTGCACTTTTGTCGCGACTCTAACATCTAGCTGAACAGATGGAGAACGCAGACACCGCCATTGTCGTGATATTTTAGTTATACTAAGCACGTTCTTCCTTTTAAATTTGTTTAAAAAAAATTCATTTGGCCTTTCCTCTCCCTTCTTTGAAAAGGCTAAATTGCTTTGATAGTGTGGATCTCTAAAACGTGTATTCCTTGCGTTTTTTATCTGAATTTTTCAGAAAAATTAGCTTACAAAAGAAATCTGGTCATTTAATTATTAAAATTCAAACACATTGTTTTTCACAAGTCATCATGCATCGAAGGAAACAAACCTAATGTATCAAGCACGTAGTACTTTGATGATTGTGGTAAACGATCAGTTGTTCTTCCCGGATCATTTGAAGGCCTTTGATAATCGACTAGAATTCCATCAACTGTTCCACTTTGACGGCGAAGATAAAGTGCAACCATATGATTGTAACCGGCATTCGGCACTTCCCATGCAAATGGAATACCAACGGGACTGTCACCTATATTTGCACGATGGAAAAAGGACGACAGTTGCGCTGCTGAAGTAAAAACATAGAATTTTTGAATCGGTAGATGAGCATCACGATAGAGACTGTCAATTTGATCTATTGTAGCGCCTTTGGGACCACCTTCCTGCATTCGTTCACATTTCTTAACAAGTTCTTCAACAGTTGTATTCAGAAGTCCTGCTAGTGTTGTGTAGTAACAGTTATTATCGAATCCATATGTATTGACTTCAGGTTGATGTACGTTGATGACATAACTGCTGCTAGGTGCTGAACTGTTTGAAGGAGGAGAACTACCGAACATGTGATGCTGTAGTGAAGCACCACTACCAAATAAAGATGAAATATCTGTTCTGCTTTGTTTCGAGGCCATTCGATGTGTTATTTTTGCGTTATCTATAACTTGGAAGGAAGTTTCTCCTTTTTATACTTGAAAAAACCAGAGTCAAAGATAAATAAAAGGAAAGAAAGTGTTTGCTTTTGATCTTGACTCAGAAGAAGAGAAAAGAAAGCGCAGCTCCTCATCATTTGCTATCGATTCTTGCGGTTTTATAGTGTCAATAAACAAGGTGAGAAAGGCCTTTATGAATTAGAGTGTATGACATTATTATAGCAAAAATGACAAAAGGGAAGTTTCCCTGCTAATATTTAAAGTGAGTATTATGTTTACTCTAGAGACGTGAATAATCGCACTTTTTCTTTTTCGTCCTATGATATAGTGCCTGAAAGAATAACAGCAAAATGATAAACACATTTAAACCTCAAGAAATCGTTTTCGCTTTTCACAAAGAAAACTGCTATTTGTTGCTATACTTCAATAGTAAAACTCCTTTTGTACAAATGATGAGAACCTTCAGGAATTTACAGTACGATACAAAAAGGCACTACTTTTCAGTTTCCTATTCACACTTCAAGCAGGTCTTTATTTTCGTATATACATTTCAGATATACAAACAAATGTGAAATCAAAATCAGCTGTTCAAAGGTTAAAAAAGAACAAACGAAATCTTTAAAAGCATTTAAAAAACACGTGCCTTACATCTCGCAGAAGTTATTAAAGCAAAAAATGCTGTACAAGTCCTCCTAGGTTTAAGCGGCGAAGTATTTAATTCACAAAGGTCGCTACAAGAGTTTCCTGTTAACACATATTGTAGAGCTTTTCAAGGCGCATCAAGTGATGTGTTGCACTGGGCTAAATATTGGATAATTACGGGAATGATTGTACAGTCATACTGATGGTTCTAAGGGGTTAGTTGTTTTCGAGTAGATTTTGTCGGATATGTTTGACTGGGAGCGCTCGGAAGGGCCGAACCCATAGAGTCAAAATCGCCCTTCGATTTATTGGCAATTTTTTCCAAGAAGTTTCATTAGGGAAAGCATTAGCCATTAAACAACAAATGAAACAAGAATATTGACTGAAGGTTAGGGAAAAGTTCATTTTCGTTTTTAATAAACTGATGCCACAGAAGAAGAAGAATATATTTGCAAATGTATTTCTTTTTCTGCTTTTTTCTACGCGTATAGATTGAAGACATGGATCGACATGGATATTCCAAAAACGAAATAGAAGGGAAAGTGTGCTAAATATTTGAGATGTTACCACATTCTACACGTTCTTTTGTTTAGGAAATATTGCCTAGAGAGTAGCAGTTTGTATTTTACCAATATTTTCTATACAAAAGAACGTGTAGAATGTGGTAACATCTCAAATATTTAGCACACTTTCCCTTCTATTTAATATTTTTCAGAGCTCTGGAAGTATTTTGGTTCGAAAACTGTAAGAGAGACAAAATACAGAAGAATCGTGACGGAATCACACTGCCGTAGCAGAGTCACGTGGTCAAGTAATTATACGACTATGACTAGTTGTCATCTCAGATAACACATTTGATTTTGCGTCAGAACCAGAGCGCCATATGGACTGGACTGCACTGGAAATGTTTTAAGTTCACGGACTCGAAAAAAACTGTTGGATTCACTTGAATCGAGGAAAAACTGTGTATTTTGTTTTGCTGACTAGGCTTGACCACTTTTTTTATAATCCATAGGCTGAAAAAACTGTTTTTCATGGGATCGGACTGGACGGGACTTGAGTTTTTCAATCCATGGACTGGACTGGACTCAGAATTTTGAGTCCATGCGGGACTCTGGAAAGTACAGATAAAATTCAATCGTAGTTGCAGGATTAAACAACTGCAGCTCTGGAGTTGAGCCTTTTTTTGACGAAGAAGTTGGAGTTGCAGTCAGATTTTTGAAGCCTGAAATTGACTTGAGAATTTTCCACTTCAACTCTAAAAATGGTGTATTAGTTATTTGAAACTAGCTTTTTCTCTAGGCTTTTCTGGAGTTGTTTCTAAATTCAAATATATATTCTTTTTAGTTTATTTCATTTTCAATAATAAATCAAAACTGTTTTCTTATTTGGCTGTCATATAAAACATACAAGATACAACGAGAGAAAAGAGAAATAACACAAAACAATCAGGAGAAAACTTGATGATAATCTTAAACGGACAAAATATTCAGACGGCAATAAACCTTAACAAAAATAAACATAATAGAAAGACGCATCAAACATTTTCGAATAAAATTTCATGAATTTGACTAATTTTAAGCAAACTAACGAATGAGAAGAACAAGAAGCTATAGATTCAACCTGTTCCAAAACATTATTGTTGTCAATAAATGCACATTTTTAATTTCATTCAATAAATATATATATGGAATGTTTCGTAATTTCGAACAAATCATAGCCTCACTATCTACTATGTAGAAGAACTAAAGACAGAAAAAGATCTAAAACATTTCAACACAAAATAAACTAAAAGTATAACATTTAATTACAAGTGTTATAATAATAATAACAACAACATCAACAGCGACGAAAAAACAAAAAGTACTTTAAGATATAGAAAAGAATTAGACAGTTTGAGCTAATGCCGATGAGCATAATGTTGTTGGAATAGATACTGATGGTCGAATAGACGCTGAACAATTTGAAGACGAAGAAGATGACTGTGCAAATGTAGGTGAAGAATTTGATGACGATATAGGCGATGTATCATTTGTGGTGATACAAGTCGTCAGATTGGTATTAGTTGTAGTCGTCGATACTAATGGAATAGTATCAAGTCCTTCAAAATGTCGAAATATTAATGCGACATAGTACATAACTTTTTCCCAATCTGGCCACTCAGTATTCACCATTTCATCAATATCCAAAATTGATACAATTCCAACACTTTTTGCAATATTAAATGCTATTTCAAATCGTTTTCTCTAGAATAATAAATTAAAATTGTAAATTTTAGATCAGGTAGATTTCAAAAGTTTTCACCTTTGTTTCATTCTTGATTTCATCTAAATTAATTCTATCCGGTAAATAACTATGTAACAATGAACAAAAAGCCAAGCCATCTGTCCATGAATTACTGAAATTTGTGATAGTTATTCCCTACATAAGCAAAAAGAAATATATACCTCCTAAATTATTTTACTTAGTTTCTCTCACGACTTACATAAGTAGCCAATCTTTCCACACACCATTTTAGAAATGCATCTCGCTTACATACAGAGCCTGGCATTCGAGTATAAACAGCTTCGACGATACATTTCATTTCATCGTATTGTTCACTAAATAATAAAAACTAAATGTTAAATCTATTGGAATATTAGTGCGAGAGAGACATACGTTGTTATTGATCTTAATGACATAACCGATCTTAAACTGTTATTTGCACAATTAGACGTAGATAGGATAGTTGTTTGTTGATCATTGTTGCTGTTTCTAACAGAAAGCATTTTAGCATCGTCCGTAGTTGTACCCAATTGTTGCCGATGTTGACTATGACCATTAGTTAGAACGGCATTTGTTGTTTCTGAACGTGTACATGGCTGAGATAATGGTCGTTGACGAACGATTTGTTCAACAGCATTATTTGAGGACATTGATATTGTTGGAATAGTGGCTGGTGGTGACGATGATATTGAACCTATAAACAAATCGTACAATAGCAATAAACAGAGAAATATATGAAGATATCATACCACTTCTTGAATTAGCTTCGAGTGTACGAATCATTTCTTTTATTCTTACTGGACCAAAATCTAAAGGAATAAAATAGAATCAATAAGAAAATAACATTAGAAAAAGAGGATAACGATAGAATACCTGGTAAACCATTTGAAATTCGATTTTGTGGTGGTAAATTCATCTAAAATACAAATAGTGTAGAATATCCACGTTCAATGAACAAATTTTTCCTATTTGTACACATGCAATGCTATGAAGAGAAGCAATGATCAGTTTCTTGAATGCAAATTCGAAACTCTCAAAACCATCATGATGAAGAACTTTTTTGATCATATCATTCAGACTGTTCCCTTTCTTCATTTTAAATAAATAAAGAAAAAATTCATTTTTACCTGTCGACGTTGAACTTCTTTATTAACAGCTCGTTCATGTTCAATATATTCAGTCATACGTTTTAAATCTTCATTTGCTTTGTTTAAACGATCTTCTGCATCTGTATAAATGAAGATCAACTTATATTCATATAATGTATTTTACATGAGAAAAAATGCCTACCATGTCTCATTTCACTCGCAACTCGAACAGCAATTAACATATCTTTTTGAAATTCATCTTTTTCAATTAATGTTAATTCTAATTGCTTTTTAATATCTGATAATTTTTTTTCAACATCTTCAACTTGTGTTGATAATGATGCATTTTTTTCTCTATAAAAGTAAATAAATAAATTAGAAAAATTTTTTTAAACATTTTTATCTATCATTTTACTTGTAAGCAGCAATTTTTTCTTCATAATCATCTTCTTTATCAATTAATGCTTTTTCTAATTTTCGATTTTCATCATTTAATTCACCACATCGAATTTGTGATAAAGCTTTTTCTTTAATTACTTCTTCAATTTTCATTTCTAATTCATTAATATGTTTTTTTAATTCTTCTTGTTCATTTAAATATTTTTCTTCTAATAAACGTTGTTGTTGTTGTGATTGATAAAATTGTTTTTGTTGTCGTATAAGAGTATCATCCAATTGAGCTATTTTTGATTCATGTTCATAACGTTGTGCACGCTGTTTTTGCACAAGACATTGTAATTCATTTTCATTTGTACTCTTCATTTGTGTTAATTCTTCAATCTTTTTTTTGATAAAGAAAAAAAAGAAGAAAACAATAGATAAAAACCTACTGTATTTCAAAAAGGTATAAAAGTATCATATAAGACAGATGAATGTGAATGTCAGTCTTTTATGATATTCTTGACCTTCTCTATACTCGAATATTCCAGTCAAAAGTACAGAATTTTAATTCAATTGATTTTTCTTCATTTCGTCTCTAACAGACACGCATACATCAAGCCATTACTCTAGTCAGTTTTCTGTATGACGTGTTCACTGTGAGTCTCGTGAAACGAGACGCGATTTTTTGCACTCACGCTCATACCAAAAGTGCTCGTTATTCCGCAATTGCTATTTAGTCACGATTGGCGTCTAAAGGGTGGTCCAGAAGTCCTGACCCGATTTGAATAATAAATTTTTCTAGAGTGAAATAAGTGATAGTAAATTTGTCTCTATGAAGAAACGATGCAGTAAAAAAACGCTCTACAAGATGACTATTGATTGACCCTGTTAGCTCATCTAGTAAGAAAGTTATACGCTTAAAAATGTGCTTCACAAAAAAGAAAAATCAACCGTGAATCCGGTCTAGGTATTTTTGCTGTAACTCCTGTTTCTTAGATTCCCTAGAATAAGTTCTCTTTTAATAGAAGCGTCGTGAAATTCTCTACAAAATCCGTACCTAAACTTTAATTTCAGAACTTCAATCAAGAAAACTAAGCAAATTATACACGCGAAAAAAATAAAAACTTTGTAAATTTGGTTTGTTTTACTTAACCTTCTTCTCCTATTATTTCCGTAAAAGAAGCGAAGCAAAAGCGACAACACAATTTGTGTTGGGTACTTTCAAATGTGCTCTTTCTTGTGGTTTGTAAAAAGACTTTTTAGAGCAGATGGTGTGCTCGTGAATCAAGTTTCAAAAATATGTCAAAAATCGACAACCCCGTTTTCAACAGTGTACGGACGGACGGAAACAGAAAACGTGATCGAAGTTTTGATGTTGCAACTAGGTAGAGAAGAGCAATCATCTCTGATCAAAGCAAAACAAACCCGATCGAAAAACGTCTTGTTTTGATGAAGTTATGAGACTTTTACTGAAAGCACCACCATATGGACCGGGTTCACGGTTGATTTTTCTTTTTTATGAAGCACATTTCTAAATCTATAACTTTCTTACTAGATGAGCTAACAGAGTCAATCAATAGGCATCTTGCAGAGCGTTTTTTTACTGCATCGTTTCTTTATAGAGACAAATTTACTATCACTTGTTTCACTATAGAAAAAGTTATTATTCAAATCGGGTCAGGACTTCTGGGCCACCCTTTACTCGATGTGATAATACGCTTTTTGCTCGGAATCTAGTGGATTATAGGTTATCGACCATGCTGATTCCGAATATGATCATAGGGTTGACCCTTAGCCCTTCAAAGGCACATCCGATTTTAGCAAAAACCAGTTGTCTCTAAATATAACCAGAACCTTTCTTAATGAGGCATAATTGTAGCCCGCAAATTTATGATTAAAATGAGACATCTCCCAGCCTTACACGACCTTTCTTTGCGAAGTTACAGAATTTACAAGCAAGGTCCTAAATTAATTTTTTCCTTCTTATTTCTGTAGCTTTGAGCTGACAATGAACACTTAGGACTTTTATTGTAAATTCTATAACTTTGCAAAGAAAGGTTGTGTAAAGCTGGGAGAAGTCTCATTTTAATCATTTTAAGCGTAAATTTGCGGGTTACAATTATGCCTCATTAAGAAAGGTTCTGGTTATATTTAGAGAAAACCGGGTGTGCCTTTGAAAGGCTAAGGGTCATCCCTATGGTCATATTCGAAATCAGCATGGTCGATAACCTATAACTCACTAGATTCCGAGCAAAAAGCGTTTTATCGTCTCGAGAGGTTTCCTCATGAATGGCCCTATTCCTCTCACGATTGAATCGCGAACGCATGCGACAATGCAAGATCTATGTTAATCATGACGTATTCGCTTTATCTCATTATGACTCGTATCCGTTTATATTTTTTATCAATAAAAGTTGATAATTAAAGTCAAGATCAAGGCTAACATTTGCTGACTTGACTGTGATGTGACAATTTCGAACATTTTTTGAAAATCAACAGGGTTTCTATATTATGTGTTTGAAAAGAAGAACACAGTAGAACGCATTTGTCACGGAAGTTGCGTCGTGATTCTGTGTCCTATTGTATAATATAAATCCAGAAATTTGACTTGGGTCGTCTTTACACAACACTCGTAAAGGCGGTATACTCTTCTTCTCAACTCATTTGAAAGCTAGCAATGACCACTTATTAACTAGTCGAAAATGTTAAAAAGATTCGATAAGGTTAACTTAACTGTTGCTAGATATTGATATATCATCGTAGGAATGATAATTATCGCAGTTACATTGACGATATGACTCGAAAATGTCAACTTTTTAGTCTTATACTCGATTGTTATGGTAAGATCTTTCGAACTTTTTTATTAGAGAGTTGAAAAGGATCGAAGACTAAGATTATAAATGATCGTTTCAGCTCTACTAGATAACGTTAGATAAAAAAAAAAAGTTATGTTCACTTTATCAGTTGACACATATTCAATACATACTTTTTTTCTTTCATTATCTAAATGTATTTTTAATTTTCCATTCTCTTGTTCAAATTTATGATTTAATTTTTTCAATTCATTTAATTCTGAATTTAATCTCTCTAATTCTTCTGATTTTTTTTCTAACTTAATTTTATAACAAATTGATAAATCACGCATTTTAGCATTATCATTTTCATAATGTTTGGATTGTTCTTCTGATTTTAATAAACGTTCTTGTGATTGACGCTAACGAAATAAATTATAAAATAAACATTAAAATAAATATAAAGTAAACTTTATTGAACATACTTGTTGACGCAATAATTCATCACGTTCTTCTGTTGCTTCTTGTAATAGTGATAATAATTTTTTTTCGTCATTGTGTTCATGTTCTAATATAAAAGAGAGATGAAAAAAAAAGAAGAAAAAAGAAAAAGAGAGAAAGATAGACAATAAAAGCTATTTTCTTCTTTTTATTTACCATTTCTTATCATTTGTTGTAATTGTTCATTTTTTTCTTTTGAATTACGTAATTCTGTTTGACGTTCATGAAGTGATTGTCGTAATTGATCTCGTTCTTTTCGAACATTTGACAATTGTTGTTCATAATTTTTAATCGTTAACTAAATAAAACAATTGTTCTAAGATAAAAATAACAACTAAATACTCAGTACAAAAAAGATAAATCTCGTGAGATTATTCTATATCGTTAAAAAAAAAAATACGTAGATCTCATGAAGAAAGTATTTGTTTTTTAGCGTTAATTTACTTTTTTTGTATGTTTTTTCAATATGATGATACATTGATTGATACAAATACGATACTTTTCTTTTCACTTTAGAATATGTAACAAAGATCCTTTGATGATAGAATGAAAAATGAATAATCTGAATTTTTTTTTCAAAAGAGATTTTCTTCAAAATATTGAATAGTCAAGTGAAACCATATGCATTTTATCTAATGGTTTTTAAGGAGTATTTCTGGTATGTGATGTGTGAATTTCGATCACTCTTTCAACTCTTGCCCAAAGAATGTTGACTAAGTATTTTATCTGTTTAAGAGTTATAAACTAGAAGAATAGAAGATTTTATCTTAATTTAGAGGAATGATGATTAAAAATTTTAAAAATAATCTCTTACTTGGTAGTCTGTCAATTCATGTAGAATAGCTTGTAATTCTTCATTTTTCGATAAATTTTCATCTTTAATCGATTTTAATTGTGCATGCAATTCAACAAAATCATTATGTGAAGATGTATTATGGGTTTGTGTATGAATTGTTGTTGTCGTTTGTCCGTTGGATTCTGGCCAACGTCGTTGTTGTGATTTTGACTGTTGCAGTTGATATTGAGGTGTTTGAGAAGAAGGAGGCTGTGATTGTTGCTGTTCTTCGTGATATGACGATGATCTTTGCTGTTGCTGTTGTTGTTGTTGTTTGTTCAAACGTGAAAGTGAATTGATGCCAGAATAAGAGGGTGGTGATGAGATTTTTGATTGTACTTTTCGTTGTTGTTCTTCATTATTATGTTTGACTTCAATTTCAATTTCACTTTTATGTCGTATTTCATTCGATGATGAAGAAGGAGGAGGAGGAGGATATCGTTGAATTGGATGATGATCATGACCGTTATTTAACGATGATGAGAAATTTGTGGATTTAATTGGAGGATGATCTGGAGTATTAATGAGTGTGGTATTTGACAATTGTGGTGGATTGTTCGATGCTAAAAAACCCAATGAAGAACTTCATTTTTTTAAAGAAAGAAGAAGGAATAATTTTAATTTAAAACAAAAAATAAATAGAAGAAACAAAGGAAAGTGGTCGTACCAGAATGAATTTCTTTCATTGCTGTGCTAAATAGTACACAAAAAAACAGAAGAGAAAATAACTGTTTTTATTCTTTTTCTTTTTGTTTTGTCTTTGTCATTATTTTGATGTAAGTAAAAACGAAATAAATTATGTGTATGTATAATGTGTGTCTGTCCGAAAAATACATATACACAACAAAAATTTGTTCTTTATAAAAGAAAAATCTTTTTTTTTCTGATCTTCTCTTTTTTCGTACATAGTATATTACATATACACACTTATAACAAGTTTCTTTTGATTTAATCTACACACACACACACAACACACACACACATACGTAATAAAAGAAGAAAACAACAATGAACAATAAAATTGCAATTACTCAATCGACATGCATGTTCAAACAATCAACACGAAAAAAAAAGAGAAGAAAAGCAATAGATTAGAAAAAATCTTATAATCTAACTCAAACATATTCTAATTTGTTTATTTTTCATCTACCTTGAACAGATTGATCTCGAGACATTTTTTTCGCCAAGGGGTTTGTATCGATTTCAACTAGTTTTATTGGTTTTTCTTTCTAAGAATCAAATATGGCCTCGTTTTTATTTTCAATTTTTATTTTCTCTTCTTCTTTTAAAAGAATATACATAATAAAAAACGTAAGAATCTTTCTTTTTCTCTCTTACGTTTTATTATCTTGTACGAGAGAAGAATAAATTCTCATTATTATCATCATCATCATTATCATTATAGAAAGAACAAAAAAAAGTGCCTCAAACCTCAAAATCATACTATTACTATCACTACTATCACTAATACTACTACAACTACTATTAACCGTGAGCTTGGTCTTTTTTTTTTTAAAAAAAGCTGTCAGTCATATCTGTAATCGAATTTATTTATATATCTTCTTCTTTTTTTATTTTTTTTGAAGGGTACATTATCTTTTACGTAAAAAAGAATAGTAAAAAGAGTAATAGGACATCACAAATTCTTATACGGGCAAACTATTTTATTTATCTGTCAAAAACATTAGTTCAATCTAAAGATGATACTAGAAACATCAACTCTCCTTTCAACTTTTATTCAAGAGTATCGGTTCACAAATGGAAAGAATCACTTAGACAAAGAAGTAACAGTATTAAAAAGCAATATGGTACTGTTTATATCTGAAATATCATAGTGTAGAAAAGATTGTAAATATTCTCAATTCTACAACGATATTATTTTTTATTAAAAGAGTTTAAATATGAAAAATAATCAAATCTTATAAAACATACGAAAACTTCAATTAAATATCTCATATTTTTACTATTTACCATTAATTGATGATGAACGTAAATATTTTGAATGTTTACATGATGTTGCACTTAATAAAAGTATATTTTGTTTTTGTTTTAATGGATTCGAACGTATTTTTGAATCAAATCCATGTGTAGAAAATTGTTGTTGTATATTATTATCCGTAAAAAATAAAGACAGTGATGGTAATCTACCATTGTGATTATTCATTATTATTTCATGGTTATGATTATTATTATTCACGTCGCTTTAAAGATAATATCAGTGTTCAAATAATAATAATAGTAATAATAATAATAATAATAATAATAATAGTTCGAATAATTCTAATACAATATGAATAAAGAGAAAAAAATCCGGTACGTCTCTTTTATATCTCTTTCAATCATTCATTTATTCAAGAAAAAAGAAGAAGAAGAAGAAGAAGTGATGTTTTTCATTCTTATATATGTACATTTTTAATTCGAGCTCTCTTTTCTTCTTTTTTTTCTTCATTCGAGGTTAAATTTTTCCTTATGTGTCTAGTCATACACCATCAGACCTCATTCATATCAACGAAACAAAAAATTTACACATATTTCTCTCACTTTTCTTTGCCACTATTTTTCTTTTTTTTTTACTCTTCTGATTTTATTAATTGATTTAGACACAAATACCGTTTACTTTCTCTATATACACAAACCATTAAGAAAAATAAATAAAAAAAACAAAAAAAATGAAAAACGAGAAAATCTTCCTTAATGAATTTTTAAGTTAGTTTTCTTCTTTTATTCTTTTTTTGATAGTCATAAAGTTACATGCTACTTGTGAGAAAAACATAAAATAATTAATTGATCAACTATATGAATGTCTATTATTAATATTAGAAATGATAAGAGATAATTAAGAGAAATAAATAGAAAAATATTCTAAAAAAAATTCTCATCATCGAACAATGTTTAATGTTTATATAAAAAATGAATTCAAAAATATCATTTTAATTATAAAAATTTTAATCTTTTACATATATGCTCTCGAATAGAATAGATCTATGAAAATATAATTCATTTAATTCAACTTCAATGAGACAAATTGAGACAAGACTATTTTCAAGATTACAAATATCTAAGAATAAATGTTCAAATTAGTTCGTATACTTGTTTTATTGATCATTTTTTCATTTTCTCTACTTTATGGATAATATATATATTTTCTTTTGGTTTTTATCACGTATATTGATCTAAATTTGTTTCATGGTTTTGACAAAACGTTTTTCTTTTTTCTCTTATGTCTTTCTATTATTTGTTAGTGTATTTCGTTTTTTTTTTTATTTTTTAAAACACTTATATATTTAATAGCTCTTATCATTATCTAACTATTAGATCTTGATTTTGTTTGACAAACGCAAAAAAAGCTCATCGATCGATCAAAATAATATAATGTGTTTATAATTCAAAGAAAAAAATTAAACGATTCAGTGTACGTACACAATTGATGACAAAGTGAGAGAGATGTGTTTGATTTATAATATTTTACCTTCACAATATATAAAAAAATGTCGTCTCTCATTGAAACTATATATATATATATATACACCTTTAATGATGATCAAGTATATAAAATCGACGTTAAATGTGTTATATTATCTCTATTATTTAAGGACATTTATAACGATTTTCTTTTTTTAGGGAAATTTGTTTTTTTTTTACTTGATATTATAATTGAATTTTGTATGTATGTGTACGTATGCATGTAATAGTTTAGAAACAAACCGTGAACTAATCATCTCATTACTATTATCCATAATTAGATGTATGGATAAGAAGAAAAAAAAGAGCACGAAAGAATTAATTTATACATGAATTTTTTTTTAGAAAATATATCTGATAAAAATGACACAATGGAGAGAGAGAGAAAGAGAGAGAGAGAAGATATGTCTTACATTGAATGATACTTTTCATCAGTTAAAACATTCTTGACAATTGAGTCGATTGCACAATGTCAATGGTTGTACAGAACAATGGATTTCGTTTTGTAGTTAACTAGTTCATTTTGTTCAAATCTTTATTTGTACAAAAATTTGATTTTGTGTTTTAGTTTAGAATATGGTAATGAAATATTTTGTCCGCTTATATTCTAACTGAATAAAGCTTATATCAAACATTCTTGAAAGGTGATCACTGTAGCTTCAACTTGAAATTAAATTTTACGATGATATATAGGTTTTTGACAAAAAAAAAAGAAAGAAGTATGCATTTGCATTCACAAACTCTTCATTATTTCCCTAGAGAGATAAGTGTTCTTTCTACAAGGTTTTTTAACCTCAATGATTATAAAAGAAAACAAAAAAGAAAAAAGAAAATCTACTACTTGAAGAGAGGATAATGTTGTCAAGTCGTTACGACTAAATTTCTTTTTATTGAAATTTTGAACAGACGTAAGCTAAATTAAAGATATTTCACTACTCTTATAGTTGACCCTCAAAGCGGACTAACATCCGAAATAAAACTTAACATAAATAGTCGTTAAAACGAAAAAAAGAAAAGAAAAGAAAAGAAACGAATATGCACTTAATAATTGAAAAATTATAAATCTTCACACACATATCCCTGTTAAAGTCTTATATAAACAAGTGAAAAATGAAGTTAAATAAATATACGAGGTTCTTAATGATATAAGTTGTTTATATTTTGTTTCGTTCTCAATCGATACACATACACACACATACATACATATACATAATAGTATTTATATATAATTTTAATAGTCCTCCATAAAACTGTCAAATCATCCTTAATACATGAAAAAAGAAATGTTATATGAGTTAACTTAAAATGAACAATAAAAAAAAACAAACTCACACAGGATACTATATACTATATTGGTTTGCACTTGAAAAAAGTTAAACAATACATCAAGGATAAAATAATCGTCACTGTTAAGATGAAATACAACCTCTTCTTACTTAGCTGTGAACGAACTATCCAAGATAAATGAATATCGTAATATATTTTTGAATAACTTACACTTTTCTAAGTAAAACATATTGAAAAAAATCTTGAATGTTTCTCTCTAGTTTTTTACGTCATTGGTAATAAAAATCTTTTTTTTTTCTTTTCTATACTAAAAAATAAGTCAGATGTTTTATTGCTTCCAGACAAACTGTTTTTGATGTACAATACGTTTCAAGGCAATAAAAATGTTCTTCTGTCTTTTATAATCGCTATTAAGATGTTACATATAAAAAAATTTTTTTAGAGTATGATCGATTTGAGACGTTTTTTTTGTTAATTTATAGCGCATCTACACTTTTCTATTTTAAGATACTCTTCTTATATTCATTCATTTTTATTCTTATCATTAAGTTATAGAGTAAAGTGGAGTAATTGTTATGTTCTCACCCTGTTACATGTTCAGAATATAAAAAATTATAAAGACGTATTTGACCTTTTCTTGTTTATTTTCCTATCTCTCTCTCTCTCTCATTTTCAAATGTGGTGCACAACATAACATTCATTTATTAAATGATATTACTTCTAACATGTCACATAAATGTTCAAAAAATGAGAAAAGTCTTGAAATAAAACAAAGAAATGTAGATGATAAGTGTATCATTTAAACATATATCGTATGAAATCGATCGAAAGACAAGGTCAGAATGAATGCAGACATAGATATAAAAATGTGTGTGTGTGTGTGTGTGTGTTATATACACTGGTCATTGGTGAAAAAGAAAAAGTATATATGGACAAATATGTGTCAATTATACCTTTTTTTTTATTATGATGATGAAAAATTATGTAACAACGACGAAATATTTAACTCAAATAAAAATTTGTTGATGAAGATAGTATGATATTGGATACGCGAGAAAAAGCAGTACGAAGGACAATACAACAGATTTATTACAGTATATATACCTTAACACACACTTCAGAGAAGGAACGCAGGATACGTAACAAATACATATTGATTGAGAGAGAGAAAGAAAGACTTACGAATATTGAATAAATTTAACAGTGAATGAAATAAAAATAATCATATAACATATTCACTTCAATCAACCACAATTTAACACTTTTCAAGCATAAAGTTCTTGACTCCGTAGATCCAACGAGACAAATTTTGTGGAAAAAAAACACTTATCCAAATTAATATGAGATAATTCTAGAATCTTTCATACTCTAATTTATTTAACAACAGTTGATGATGATTTCTTTTAATCCAATGTCTAAATGGATTTTTGAACATCAAGAAGAGAAAAAAAAAAACTAAGAAAACTTTTCTAGTGATTTACGATGAAAAATTTAAAAATTTCAAATAAATAATTTACTCTACTTAATTCATTCTAAGTGTAAAACTTACTTGTTCCATTTCTATAGACAACAATCGGTGTTAAAGGTAATATTTGTTTTTTATTATGTGAATTATTTATTATTTTATTATTATTGGTGGTGGTGGTTGTAGTAGTGGTAGTAGTAGTCGAATTTAATCGTCGTTTTTTTATTGTAATAAATATTGTATGACAAAATGATGAACATAATGCAACAGTTGAAGATGATTGTGCCATTTTGATAGGATTTAATAATGGTGTTGTTGAATGATTCCAATAATGTTGATGATCATATTGTGTAGTAGGTTTTTCTCGTAATGATGGCAATGATAATGATGAATTAGAAGCGGATGAAAAAGATGATAACGAAGAAGAAGAAGAAGAAGAAGAAGACGTACTGCGAACAAACTCTTTAAATGTAAGAGAGTTTAATGGCATTTTGTCTTCTTGTTGACGATATTGATATTGAAATGGTATATTTTCATAAAACATATTTGAATAGAAAAATACAAGAATAGATATTTCTTGTAAAAAAGATGAAGAAGACGAATGAAAGATCAATGTATCTTCTTTAGAAAATATTTAATAATATAATTAAAATAAGACTACCAGTATTTTTCAATTGATTAATAAACAAACCATTTTCATATATATATATATATATAATCGAATAGATAAAACGAAACACACACACACAATACACAATAAGAGAAACAAAAATTTTTTTCTTCTTTCTTTCTTTCTTATATTTTAAAAACTATAATCAGCTTACAGATTAATCATTAAAAAGTTCAGAATTGATTCTGTACAGATTTTGACAAACTATTATTCATAATAAATCAAAAAAATGTACAACAAATGTATCGAGAAAGAAAATTAATCGTCTCTCTCTCTCGCTATATATAAGAATACTGTCTTATATTCTTCTCATGTTTCGTTCTTTTTCGATCGAAAATTATTTCGAACACTTCTTGATGTGGTTCTTAAGAAGAAGAAGAAAAAAAAATAAAAGAGGGAAAATATTGTACATAATAGAGGTATGAGAATGTATGTATACCTATACGTGTCAGTATTGAATGAAACAACTTGAGCGTTATGTAACAATTTTTCTAAATGATACAATAACAAAAAAAAAATTGAGAAAAAAAGACAAAAATAATCAATTTTTCAAAGTTAACAACAATTTTCATCAACAATATTTGAAATATGAGATGAAAATCAATTTTTTTGTCTTATTATTGGTTAAATTTCATCATCTCTCTATTCCCAAGCAAACATCATCTATCAGAAAAATCTAGATACATTCATTTGTAACCGTACGATACACGACTAGTTGTCATCTAGATTACTAGTTGGAAAAGGGACTTTTAACTAGATGTGTCTACATGTGTAACTAGCAATAGTTAAATCGATCGAAGCGATAGTTGTAACTAGAAGTAATCTGGTAATCGCCCGATTACTAGATTTCCACTATCATTACCCAATAGTTGCAATTGAGTAAAAATCTAGTAATCTAGTAACTGAATCGGGTGATACTAGATAGGTTTTTTGACGCTTGGATTTTAGTTCATTCGATAACAATAGATGAATAAATTCCTAACTTGTCAAAAATATCTAAAACTAAGAGAGTTTCAATATTATCGTATATCATTCTGATGACACTACTACAGTTTGTACTCTCTATATTGTACATCTCTAATCGTACTAATAAAGGTATAGGATTCTAAGTAGATGTGAGTTAATTTGACTTTTGTAGTACATTTTTTTATAATAATAATATCAAATATTTTTGTGATTTATTTTATATCAGAAATTTTTCGTCTTATACTCTAAAAACATAAACAATAATCTATGTCTATCTATTATTTTTATTATAAATAATTGATTTTATTTTTGAACAATTTATAAACAACTTCAATTCTTTTTTTTTTTTCGCTTTCTTTGTCAATGATCAAAGATGTTGAACAAGTGATGGATGATTTTTAAATACAGAAACCCTATCAAAATCAAAAGTTAAATGTTTATTTATCTATCGGATGTAAACGCGGATGACTTATTTAAAAAAAGAAATAGTTTTAAATAAGCATTTTTAGTTGTTATTATTTTTGTCTCAATCATTTGCTGGTTTCTTTCAATACTATAACAGTTATTCTTAAATTCTAAAAATAATTATTATATTCTTAACTCATAGTACATTAAGGGCACCCACCACCCCCCTCTTTTTGGGCTTTCTGTAGAAATACTATGAAATAAAAACTAAAATTCACTAAGGCTTCATATTTTCAGAACTGATTGAAAACTCCATACGAGCACTTTTTCGTTTTTGTTTCAAGTTTTTAACTATTGCCGTTCATCAGTTTTCCAGAAAACTTGTTTGTTTCCATTCGATTACATTACGACCTTCCTTAAATTTCATTCGATCGAGTTGAAAATTTTACCAGAAGTACTCACACACTATTGACACTATTGCGAGAGAGGTATTTTTTGCGAAGCTTTTTTAAGACTTTTCCTGGTCGAGTTACAGGAAAAACACTGAAAAACGTCTCAAAAATCAGATTTTTCAATTTTAGAAATCCTGTAACTCGGTAAAGAAAGGTCTAAAATAAAATTTCAAAAAAAATACCTCTGCAATAGTGTCTTGAGTACTTCTGATAAAATTTTTAACTCGATCAGATGAAATTTAAGGAAGATCGTAATGTAATCCAATGGCAAAAAAACAAGTTTTCTGGAAAACTGATGAACGGCAATAGTTAAAAACTTGAGACAAAAACGAAAAAGTATTCGTATTGAGTTTCCAATCAGTTCCGAAAATATGAAGCCTTAGTGAGTTTTAGTTTTTATTTCATAGCATTTCTACAGGCACGTTTATAAAAGAATGTTAGTAAAATATGACATATTGCATTAGCCGCAAAATACAAACAAAAAAAAGAATATAGATTATAAGAGCCCAAAAAGAGGAGGAAGGAGTACCCTTAAAGTACAACAAAATTGATTTCAATAAGTTACTAATTATTCTACGCGAATTTCAATAAAATAGTTTTCTAGTTATCCGTTACTAATTTTGATTATATTAAACGTAAACTCTTAACTCTAAAAATTATACTACTGCAGGACTCAAGCACAAACTCTTGTGGCATACTTTAAGCTGTGCGCATAGTTGATAAATTTTACAACTAGAAATTGTCTTTTAACTATATAATAGGAGCTAAAGATGAGCAAAGTGTTTATGATGTTATGATGTGATGTTTATGATAAATGTTTTATTTTAAAATCTCTGAAAAAATCTGTTTTTTTACGTGTTTTCTGTTCAAAACTAAAACAAAGATTATCCGTCTCTAAGATGTTGTGATCGTAAGTTTTCTCTTCAGAATAAAACTGTTGTGAACTTTGTAGGAAAAATGTGGAGCGAAAGATCTAGACAATTCTAAGAGCCACTATAACAAAAATGAATTCATCAGCATATAAGAAAACTATAAGTTTCCAGTAAAAACCGATATAACTTTTGATGACCCACATCAGAGATGAACAAGATGAGTTTTTTGGACGTCCTGTCAAACAGTTTTAGAAAAACTCTCTCGTTTAGCTTTTAAACAATCTCGTCAATAGTGGTGTAAAGTTCTGGGAATCTTTGGCAATTTTGTGGAATTCTCAATATTTGACCTATTCAAGCAATGAAACTGTCTAGAATTTTGGCAAATTCTGCAAAAATTTACCAACTCGTTATAAAACATACATTTCTCTCAATTCTGGTAGAGTTGAACCACAGTCTACCAACTTGTAGAAGCAATACAAGTATCGCCATTCTAACATAAATACTTCTCTCTAGACATTAACAGATTTTGATTCAATTCTACCAGAATGAGAGTCAGGTAGAGTTGGTGTATTGTGTAAGTGACGAAGGATGCTGTAGCGTTAGAGAAAGAGGCAGATTTACGAACTCTACTCAGCTCTTAGAAGCTTCATGGAATTGTGAAATTTGACACCACTCCCCATCAAATAGTTTCATAAAAATACCTCGTTATGTCTTGTTTCGTCTAACTTTTGAAAAATCGGACGGTATGATGTTCGCGTCCATCTGTGACATAGACCTCTGTGATATCTTGTTTTAACTAGAAAAATCTTGCTTAGCGTACAAAACTAGATTTTTTCCGATACAAATGGATTGATCGGAGATTAGGTGTTGATATAGACATTGACGAACTACTGTAAACTCACTCTCATCTTCTTAAACCTATGTCAACTCGCAGCACTAAGAACTTCAAGACTTTCACTTATTGTAAAAATGTTCAGTAAAATCATATTTAATATTTACCTGTTATATATAACAATAATATTGAACATTTTCGCAGTTTATTCTGTATTTGACAGTTTTCGTCTTTCATTTTAGAATATGAGCAAAATATACTTATATCTATTATTTTATTGTTATAAATAATAATCGTTTATCTTTGAACTATCAACACATATACGGACAAATATTTCTATCTCAAAAATTGAAAATAATTTGTCAAAACCCCAAGCATACATTAAATGGAAAGAGAAAATAACAGTCGTTTTTATTTCTCTCTCATTCTTTTCTGTATTTAGAAAACAATAATAAAAACAATAGATTCCAGGTAAAAAAGATGAGATGAGATAAAAGTTCACACATTAATTGAATTTGAATCATGATGAACAACAAAATAAAATCTCTAATGATTTATCTTTTCTATGTTATTCGAGAGAAAGAATATAGAAAAAGAAGAATAAAGTCAGTATTCGATTGCATATGAAGAGAGAGAGAGAGCGACACGTTACCGTAATCATTCCCATACTTTATCGAGTAGCGGTTACGATTTAGAGTACTCGTTTCCTGTAATAGTGAAGCACTATTCTAAGAGAGCGAGAGAGAGAAAGAAAGAGAATCTTATTAAATTTAGCACAACTCTGTATCAGTAAGACAAACAGGTGTGTGTATGTATATCGAGTTATATTGTAGACAGAACTTCTTTTTTTGTTTCGTTTCTTTTGTATTATTGTTTTTATCTCGTGTATTAGTTGAACACCGACGATCCGGTCAAGTATCCAGATTGCACAACAACTGGTGAATATAATGAGTTCATCAACAAGTCTACGACCATCCAATCTTTTTAAAACTTTTAAAGAGAAGTGTGTAACTATCTAAAAACAGTTAATTATGAGACGTCCACTAAAGATACTTTTTTTTCTTACAAAAATCAAACTTTTATACTAGAAATTGTAAACAATCATACAAGAAAGCGCATCTCAGTTACAAATTACACCCTATCACCTGGTTCTTCTACATTTTTTTGACAAAAAATTATCTTTTAGCACATTAACTATCGAAAAATGAACTTCATATTCATAGAATATTTTCAGAGATAGGCAAATTGAAGTACAACTTTAAAAATATTTACATTTGAGATTTCTAGGATATTCGAGTATTTTGTTACGTATGTTTTAATTACTTAAGTATTTTGAAATTAGTGATC